AGTAGAAACACTCCTGTGATCTTATAGCTTTCTCCACTTGCAGATATTACAAATCCTGTGAAATTAACAGCCACACATATTGCTTGGACTTAATGTTCCTTGATATGCATTGAGGCGATTTGGATTCTTTTAGATGCTAGTGTAAATTATATTTTCTAAAACGTCATTTTATCAGGATGAGCAAATTACTTATATTCATGTGAGAAATTACTCCTACTTTTTTGAGCTAAGTAATTGGTTTCAAACAATGTTAGTAGTATAAGAGAAAAAGAAATTTTACTCTATAAGATCTGATGGACTGGTCCTGGCAAAAATGCTGGTTCTCATTGTTGACAACATTTCACATAGTTCTAACCAGCAACTGCCATCATATAATGACATTGCATCACAAAACAGAGGTTTTACCAGTTAATATAGAACACTTCCCTCCCCTTTTGCTCTCTGATTAACTTAGACCTGGAAAGAAATGGGTTCAGATATTTTTTAATGCATTATTTTATTTGGTTATTAAGTAACTGTTTTTGGATAAAGAAAGAAAATTTTTTTTTTTTTTTCTTTCTCTTAAGTATGCTAAATTTAAGTCTGCTGACTAATGATAACATTTAATAGTACCTGGTGATTTACAGATAATTTTTGCATGTATTATCTCATTTCCTGTTCTTAACAATCCACTGAATAGATTTTATGCTTAGTTTACAGATCAAAGTCGTAAATTAAATTTCATTGACACAGATAAATTATACCAACCAGGCCATCTTTTTTACCTGCTAACATCGATATATTTTGCGTTGTCATAAGGATGTATACAGCTAAAAGAAAATTCAGACAATATGAATTTCATGTGTAACAAAACTATCATTAGTGACAGATGTTCTAGCTGAAGTAGAATTTTGAGTTTGCTTGGAGAAGTTGGATCAGTATTGTAAACCTGCTACCTCAGAACATTCAGTAATTCAAAGATATAGTGATGGTAGGTAGATTATTGATTTAGCATAGTCATTGGATTTCTCTTCTGCCTGTTCTACTTTATTAAATTCTAAATCATAGTAGCTATCTAAAGCCAAACTTTTCTTCTTTTTGTATGAGACTCATAACATTTTGTAGCTTCTTTAGAGAATTGGCTGACATGTTTATTTCTGTAGTCAGTGTAAAGACAAACTTGTTGCAGAGCAGAAAAATTACCTCATGCTTTTGCTTGGAAGACATGTACCAGGTCTTTCTCCAGCAGTTGGAGAATGAGCCAGGGATGGGAGCTAACCAGAACAGGCACGTGAAAACATGAATGCTATCAAAGGTAGACATTAGTTTAACTCTGGAAGGAAATTCCAGGTTGACCCTTTGCCCTAAACTTCTTGTCACCAAGTAACTGTTTTTGGATAAAGAAATAAAAGGTTTTTTCCCCCACTTATCATTTAATGTTATTAATATTAGAGAGTGATAGCATGACATACAGTATATTCATTTTTTCTTTGCTACAAATGAAAGAATGCTAATTAAATTTTTCAGATACCTTTCATAGCATCAGATAAAGGGTTATTATTTCTCAGCTAATATAATTTTATCTTTTTTCCTTAGTTGTATTATAAGCAGGTGTNTACAGTTATATCATTTGTAGGAACAACATTTTAATTTCTAGTTATAAAATGTACTTGTTTTTCCACTTTCTGATATATGTGCTTTTATGAATGTCTGTGCCTTTGGGACTGCTTTAAAAAGGAAGTAAACTAGCAATGGTGTGATTCATGCATTTAACAAAATTTATTGGGTGTCCAATATGTGCTAGGCATTGCCCTCCACTGAGGTAGAAAAGCAGTGTCTATGATTTCATGCACCTAATATTCCAACTGGCTGAGGTGGAGAGAGAAAAATGAAATTGAGTGAAATCATATTATTTTAGGTAGTGATTAATGATAGGAATAATGTGAGAGAAAATGACTGGGACCGGCAACTTTAAGTAAGGCTAGTCAAAGAAAGCCTCTCCCTGGAGTGATGTTTAAACTCAGTGATGAAAGAGAGCCAGCCCATTTGAAGATGTAGAGGACAAGTGCTTCACATAGAGGAATAGCAAGTGCAAAGATCCTTAGATAGAAGTGGTCTTGGAAGAAAGGCCAGTGAGGATGCTGGAGGAAAGGGGTCCAAGTTGAAGCTGGAGAAAGTGGGGCCAGGACCAGATGACACTGAGCCCTGCAAGCCATGAGAAGAATCAGGATTGGACGGTACAGGCAATACAAGGTCGCATGAGGATTTTGTGCCAGAAGTGTTAATGATCAGATGTTTGCTGTATGGAACACAGGGGGCAAATGTGGAACCAGGGAGACGAGTTAGTGAGCTGTTTCATACTAGTTAAGGTGAGAGCTGGATCAGGAGAGAAAGCTTAGATTAGGATTGTAGCAGCAGGAGCAGAGAAGTATGAACAGAATTAAAATCTGCATCGGAAGTATAAAGCCAGCAGGACTTGCTGATGGACTGGGAAAGGAAGGGAGGAGGAATGACTCATGGGGTTCTTGGCTCAAGCAACTGGATGAATGTACTTGAGCTTATGGATCAGGAGGTTGTTCTTTCAGTTTGTATATGGGCATTTGTTTTTAATGAAGTGCACTGACCTGAATGAAAAGTGTTGATGTATTATATGAAGTCTTCAGGCATTTTCTAAAGATTATAGGAGAAGAAAATAATTATTGCAGTGATGCCAAATTTGGGGGTCATTTTTTCTTTGCAGTTTTTTAATGTTACTATAATCTAGTCATATAAGCCAGGAAACAAAAGAAAATGTGTGCACTTTCCTGGGACTTGTCAAGTATTCATTGGTTAATTGTGAAAATTTATTGACTAACAAAAAGCACTACCTTTCAGTTTGTTTTTAATTTTTAAAATAAAATACATTGTAAAAGAAAGAAATTAACCAACAAGAGAATAAGTATGCAGTCAGAGTGAACAAAGGTCCTTCATCTTACCTTTCAGGGGTACAGTTGGACATAATCTTAGAGGGTTCCTAGACCCTAGACAAAGTAATATTTACCAGCATATTTTTCCCCTCACATGCAAAACAGTAGATTCATTGTGAATTTACATTTTTTAACTTAATAATCTAAACTATTTTTTCATGTTAATAAATATTGTTCTGCTGTAGTCTTTTTAAGGATTGCCTTTTATTCCACTTTATTAATGTATTTTAATTCATTTAACCTGACTCCTATTGATGGACATTTAGATTTTCAGTGTTGCATTACTGTATACAGTACTCAAAGGGCTGTCCTTCTTTGGGAATGTCTGTCAGTATTTCAGCATATTGATTCGCCACATGGAGCCCTGGTCACAGTGCCCTCCAGGTTTGTACTACTGTGATTTGATGAACTACTTCAACAGTTCTGATTTGAGTTGCCAGAATAATAAGGTAGTGAAAATGTGAGTTTCTGGCAACATCCATCTATCTGTCTGACTGTCTATCTAAAGATATATTTATATATATGAATTATTTACAGTGTATGTATGTATCAGAACATTACATTGTACTATATATATAGAACTAGGGGAAAACAGTAGGGATTTTCTTTTTTTTAAAAAAAAGACGATAAAAATTAAGCAAGACATTGTTTTTTATATATATACATATATATATATGTATATATATATTTATTTAATATTCACCAGTGTCACTCTTGAAGTGCCTGCTACATACAGAAATCATTAGCTATTATAGGATGGCCATGCTTCAGCTTTAAAGGAGACATTTCAGGATGTAAATCCGTATTTTATTTATGTCTTCTAAAAAGTATTACCCCTGACAGTCATTTCACAAGACAAATTTGTACATTGACTATTTAAGATAAACACACCTGTGATTGCAACCCTACTAAGCTGTGGTCTTACATATGACCAGAAGAGGGAGTTTTTATCACTTCTTGAGGCTGTGGTACCTACTACCTGACTGAAATAATTCCTCTGATGTATGTACTAGTCCAAATCCATAAAACAAACTGGTTTGGAAGGGGCCCAATAGCTAAATTTAGCTATTTCCCTCATCCCACATTGTGTGTGTGAAAATCCCAGTCATGAGGTTTACTTCAAAGTAATTTTATACCTTTTCATCTTGTGCATTTGAATGTTGAAAACAAAAAAGAAAAGATAATCATTTCCATTTAAAATAAATTAGAATACAAACAGTAAACCCCTAAGATAGAGTTCACACAAGATAGAGTTCTTGATTTGTATTCTTTTCAGGTCCAAAATAAACTTTGGAATGAAATTTGTTTCATTGCCTTTTGTGCTTGATATAAACATTTTTAAAAGGTTGTTAGAACTTCCTTTATTTTTATTGAGACAGAGTCCTGTTCTGTCACTCAGGATGGAGTGCAGTGGTGTGATCTTGGCTCACTGCAAAGTGATTCTCGTGCCTCAGCCTCCTGAGTAACTGTGATTACAGGCTTGCGCCACCACACCCAGCTAATTTTTGCATTTTTAGTAGAGACAGAGTTTTGCCATGTTGGCCAGGCTGGTCTTGAACTCGACCTCAAGTCATCCTCCTGCCTCAGCCTCCCGAAGTGCTTGGATTATAGGTGTGAACCACTGTGCCTGGCCTACAACTTCTGATACTGAAGATTTCTAGTGAGCTTTAGAGGGTTAAGATGTTATTTTGCCAAAGTACCTAATAGGCCTTTTTCAGTGTTACTGAATGGTGGTCCGTTGCGCTACTTGTGTCTCAGTCTGCTTAGCCAAGCAAATGAATAGAGTAATAACAATCAAGATATACTTGTTTCTGTAATACTAGAATTTCTTTTCTTTTTTTTTGAGAAAGGGTTTCACTCTATTGCCTAGTCTAGAGTGTAGTGGCGCAGTCGTGGCTCACTGTAACCCCTACCTCCTGGGCTCAAGCAGTCCTCCCACCTTGGCCCTTCCAGTAGCTGGAAGCACAGGCATGCACCACCACAGCTAGCTAATTTTTGTATTTTTTGTAGAGGTGGGATTTCACTGTGTTGCCCAGGCTGGTCTCAAACTCCTGAGCTCAAGCAGTCCACCTGCCTCGGCCTCCTGAAGTGCTGGGATTACAGGTGTGAACCACCGCACTCAGCCAGAATTTTGTATTTCTTTAATTTTCTTCAGCTACCTTCACAGTGCATTTTTATAGCAAAAATTTGTTAGACCTGTTTCTTTATAGATTTTTGAATGGCATATGAATATATTAAATATATACACTTACATTTTTATATAAATATACAAATGTAATCATCTCCAGCATACTATTTTCAGTGCAGCCTACTTTTTCTTATTTCTTTGGCTCTTTCAACTTCCCTGCCTTCTCTAACTAGCAGTCCTCTGTGTGCTATAAACCATACGTACTCATTTTTAGTATGTAACTTAGTATGCATCCATCTATATTTTTCTCATGCTTCTAACTATACTGGCACATAGAATTATGTATTTTATGAGTAGGGGCTTTTGGTGATAGTTTTACAAAAAAAAAAATGGATCCTATTCGCACTTCTGCTTCTTTTTTACTCAACAATACCTGATGTAAATTCATGGACAGCCCTGGATAACACTAATCCCCTCTTTTTAATGGTTGCATACTACTCTAAGGTGTCGCTGTGCTGTAGCTTCCTCCGCCAGGCACTTTGTGGACACTGATTTTGTTTCTTGCCCTTTGCCTCTGTGAACCAAACAGCAGTAACCACTGTGGTACATACATACCTAATTACTGGTGGTTTAGTTTCTATGGGGTATAGTCTCAGGAAGGGATTCCTGGGTCACAAAAGGTAGTTATTTGCAGTGCTAATAGCTGCTGCTGCTGGATTGGTTTCTAAAAAGACTGTAATACTTTATATCTCTACCAGCCACTATGAGAGTATCTCCAAAGGAGTAGGTGTTGTATTTATTTTTCTAAGCTTCCATTTATTTTTCTAAAGCTTTTTACAATGTTCCTTAAACACACACACACATACACACACAAACATGATTAATTTTAATTTGAAGTAAATTTCTCAAACAAGCACGAGTCTGGGTAATATTTACTAATATGAGACAGATCTTTCAAAATGAGTGATTATTTCTCAAAATATTCATTTAAACAATTACAGGCAGTTTTCCTGGTATCTGTGGGAAATTTCATTCTGTATGAAATCTTATATGCTAGGATTCCTCTCTGCAAAATGTGAGGCCTCCTGGATGGTAACAGTTTTGAGTAATGCAAGTCCAAGGAAAAACTACAGCCAGTTTTATTTCTGATCTTGCTTTCCTCTTTGCTTTTGGTATGATTGGTCACCTTTTAACAGTGTTCATTGTGTGTTTCAAATAATGACTGGGCTGAGGTCAAACTGGGGTTAACTCAAAGCCTGTGTAAATCAAGCCATGAAGATATATTTTATTTGCCTGCCTTACAAACATGAAGTGTGGCTGAGCCCTGAAGAGCCATCCACCAAAAGATCAGCTAGAGGAAGGCTGCTGCATGGTTTTAGCCCCCAAGATGAATTATCCCCTTTTAAATTTCATCCCCCACCTCTCCTAATCCAGTGTGAGTACCTAATGAGCGCTGGATAATAACATAGCAACATTTCTAGGTGAAGCTAATCTGATTCTGGATAGCAGGCTTCCAGGCCTACAACTGAATGAATTGCCTGGTATTTCCAAGTTTGAAAATACTTTTTTCTCCTTTCAAGTGCTCCTTGGCAGCAGGTAAGGAATGTTAAAGCTCCTGTAAGTGCCAATTAAGACCAATTATAACTCGCCTGGCCTGCTGAGACAGTGAGGTGGAGTTAGTGGAGACTTGTATTCCTGTAAAATGGAGAACTGGCTTTCACCAATGACAGGAGCACAGTATTTCAGAACTGCTAGCAGCTTGTTTGTTGCCCTCCAAAACACTGAATGACACCTCTGCTGCTTCTCAAGGATTCAGTTTAGGAAATCCCAAAATTTGTAGGGGACTTGATAGAAACCTCAGTTTTTCTGTTTTACTTTAACTCTTCTTTCCTATCATCTATTCAGTTTCTCCTTGGTTGTAATCATAATAGCTAACATTTGCTGAACATTTAACAAGTGCTGGGCATTGCATTACCTGTGTTATCTCATTTACTACTCACTGTGCCAGGCTTGTTGGAAGAGGCAGTATCAGCCCTCAGCTCTCCAGAGTCTCTCACCCAAGGCTGTACAACTGGAAGTGCTCAGACTGCAGGCTGGCTGCCCCCTGAACCCAAACCTTGAGTGCTCCGCCTAGCATCCTGCAGGTTTGCTTCTTTGCTGCGAATAGCCTAATGCACAGAAGAATTTTTGTCAGTTCAAAACTCCCCTTTGTGTACTAGGATGAAATTGACATGTGTACACCATCCAAACCACAGCTGATACATATAATTTTTGGTCAGTGAGGCACGGATGTTATTCTATTAAGATGATATTTTAGTCTAGTCTTTTTTAAGTCTTCAGTCTTAAGTTTTTTCATAGGAAAAAAAGAAATACGACCATGTCCCCAGACCTAGACATTTATATCTGAGCCATCATATCAAAATAAATTTTATTTGGATAGGATATTAGGAAATGTTTTGAAGAAAATTATGATAATACAAAAGGCAAAAGAAAAAAAGAAAATTATGATTATGCTTTATAAGCAGAAAAAGCAGTATTTGTTTAAACATTTTATTGAGGGCATTACGAGGGGTACATGTGAGTGTTAAAACTTTAATCTGAGCTTTATTCTCAGTTTCTATGTATTTATATTATTGGTGTACAAAATTATATTTTCCTGGCTTATATGACTATTCATCTGTTTTTTGATGTAGGCCTTAAAGATAAAATAATTTTTCTCTTATTTATGCATGAACTTAAATGTAGATGTGTGTTTGTAGCATTTAAGAACATTTGCTAAAATTCACCCGGGTTTTCTTCAGGGTTGCAGAAAACCTTGATTCTTAGAACTGTCTTGGATTGGCTGACTCTCATAATGATACTTTTCCCCACTGGTACAATCACTATGTATGAAAGGGAATGTTAGAAAGGCAAGCATTTGTACTAGGAGGTCAGCAAGGACTCTGGTATCCCCTGTCGTACAGGTGCAGTGATAGGGAAGTGAGGTTTAGCTGGAGAAAGATCGTCCTACCTCTTTCTTTTCTGCCATTGATGGCATTAAGGAGGACTCCTCATCTACCCTTGCAGAGAGGGCAGGTGAAGTGGAGTGAATAATACTAAGAACTGTGGAAATCAGGTTGCACAGCCATAGAATTTTTTTTTCTAGCTTACGAAAAGCTTCTGTGAATTAACTTAAAAGTCTTATTTTCAATAATGAGCTTTTGAAAAGATTTGGAAGATGTATCCTCATCCTGTGCTTCTAAGGTTTGCCAATGGCTCTTCGCTTCTGTTCTTCTAGCATCTTTTCAGGACTACCATAGTTTTGGATATATGAATGTGACTGTAAAGAATCTGGAAAAAAAAATGTGGGTTTTAGAAAACCCCTGGATCTTAGTATTGCTGACATGGTTGGGATCTGAGTGCTTGTGAAAATAGAGCAGTGCAGCTACTGTTCTTTTGTTTTAGTCAGTTTAGAATTTGGTCTAATAGACATTTTCATCCCTCAGAACTCTTCCCCACCCCTTTCAGGCTAAATCATTTCCACACATATAATTCAGGACTTTTGCCAAACATTCTGTGTGGGGTGATGGGATTCTGTAGAAGAATCTTTTCCCACTTCTTTTGACACTTAGAAGAGTTCATTCTGAACTATCAGGTATCTAGATCATTGTTATCATAAAACTCAGATCACTGGGCAGTTTTTGCATGTCACGTGTGGGGATTTTTTGGCGTTGTTGTTGTTGTTGTTTTATTAGAACTCTGTCAGCTGGGCTAGAGTGCTGTGTGCAGTCGTAGCTCACTGCAGCCTCAAACTCCTGGACTCTTGCCTCAGCCTCCCGGGTAGTTGGGATTACAGGCATTAGCTGTTACACCCCATTCATTCCATGTCTATTTTACGGTAAGATTTGTTGATTGGGCAGAGAGAAGGAACGTGATAGGGATGAGGTAGTGAAACAGGCCAGAAAGACACTGTTTTCATGGGGGCACTCAGTGAAAGAAATTCTTGGATTTAAAAGTATGAAAGCTTTAGTCAGCCCTCCAATGATTGAACACCAAACTGGAGAATCAGGTGGATATGAAAGTATACATATTTTAGAAATATGCATAGAAAGTGGGTTAAGATTTTGTGTTACTAGATTTAGGAAGGAGTATGCTTAGGAATAATAAACTTGTTAAAAAATTTTAGCAAGTATAGATAGTATAGGAGAAATAAAATGTGGAAAAATGCTGCAGGTATTTTATAGAAATGTTTAACTTTAAGACCTTTAGGTCTACGAAGATGTGAAATGTAAATTTTTAAATAAATCATGTAAGTTTTGTAATATACCTGGTAGTAGCTGTGTCAGTTTAAGGGCATTCAGAAAAAAAATCAGAAAGTATAGTCGTTTGCATTTTAGCAGGTTAAATTTATAAATTCCATCTTCCCCAGTTTTGACAAGTTGCCTTTCAAATAGAAAGATTAATATACAACGGCCAGGACGCCTTGTATGACCATATTAGATGAAATTAGACTCCACCCCCTGTTTTCTGTTGATCTGCCAGGACCTTTGTAATTCAAGTGCTTTTTACAGTAGTAGCAAATGTTACATAAGCCCAAACATGGAGCATATTTGGAGTTGGTGGGCAGACCCAAATCATGATGCAAGCCTGCAGTAGCAAGTGTGCAATGAAGCACAACCAAATTCTGTGAATGGAAGGAAGCGAGACGCCTCTCCAAAGCAGCTCTTCTGCGCAGGAGCTGAAAGCTCCACTGGGTAAGTTTTCTGAGGCAGTTTTCAGAGGCTGGGCTTGGCTCAGGGCCCAGCTCTGGATGAGCCTGTGGACGGTGGGGTAGGTCTTTGCTAACCTTACACAGAAGCAAGGAGAGTTTGGAAGAGTTTGTGCAGACCTCTTTCCTCTTGGTGTTTGTCTTGCCCTGCCAGCAGGCCAGGAGGGCTGTGCTGCTCAAGTAGTGGAGGGAGGGAGCCTGCAGAGCTAGGGGATCAGAGTGGGTAATTGCAACCACAGGGATTAGCTGCTGCAAGCTGTCCACAGGAGCCATTCTGAAATGTCATTTGAGTGATCTGGCCAAAGTTCAGACACAGACAGGAGTCGAGTTTGTTATTAACTCCAACAAAATGCTGAGGTTTGCACCAAACAGTTCCCATATCTCAAAACAGAGAGAGCATTGGTTACGTCGCTCTCTAAAAATGGAGGAGCGTTGTAACACGCTTTAACTATTTTTTATCTTACTTGTGGTAAGTGAGGTTTCATGACAGGCAGTTTGCAGTGTTTCCTGTAGAATGTGTTTGAAAGCTGTTTTGTCAGATACTTCAATCCCACAGCAAAGTTTCAAACAGAACACTGTGTCAAGAGGAAGAACAACTTCAAAATACAAACAGTAACCCTGGGAAGTCATTCAATAACTTAAATTGAGTGTATAAAAATTTAATTATGGACCGACTGCCAGAAAAGATTATTTTTTTTTTTTCAGTTGTGTTATTAAGGTAGCCAACAGAGCTAAGCTGATTCTTCTTGGGTGGACGGGAAGGCTGCTGTCAATGTTAACCTTACCTGTCTTCAGACCTTCTGTCTTCATGCAGGAAGTGAGGTGTCAGTTGAGTTCTTTAGTTTTCAGGGGATTCAAATTTCATGCCTTCTGCAATAATGAGCTTGACCGGATGGTTTTAATTGAGGTTGAAATTTAGCTTCCCCATTGTAGGACTTTAAATACAAATAGATCTTAACCCTTTAAATCAAATTGCTGTGGATTCTCTATAGTTGGTTTTCCTTAAAACTCTTGTCGGACAGTTTAGGTTCATTGTTTCTGCATGTCACTTCTCATGTTTTATTAGTTGACAACCCTGGGCTGTAGGTACAGCAGATAGTGTTTCTGTCTTCAGAAAAAAAAAAAAAAAAAAAAAAACGTGTGTGGTAGACCCGTTGAAAACATTGGCATTCCTGAGCAATTAATCACTTATTCCTTATTAACAGAATGTAGAATGAAGGAAGCTTTTAGGCTGTGTTCAAAATGTTAGGTTTTTCTTATTTCCATATTCTGGTCTTCAGGTCTTCTGCCCTCCTCACCTAGAATAAAGTGATATAAAAAGGATATAAAACTAGTGGAAATAAGGATTGTGACAGGCTCAGTGAAGCACGTTTCAGCAGATGGTTTTGTCATTTTGTTGCACCTTACAGAGTTGCTCTTGTTTGTTGGACTGGGAAGTTGGTGATCCCTGTTGGGATTCCTACACAGAAATTCATGCCTTAAAAGACAAAACACAAACGACCAAACAAAAACAAGACAACTCCTCTAATTCGAGTTTTACCCTGTACCGTTTAGTCTCTCTCTTTTCATGTATATGTAAAAATTGGATTGGAGTGGTAATGACTGTGTTTTTTTTCTTTACTTGTCTTTTTGCATTTGATAATAGCCCATATGTTTCATTTGGGAAAAATGGCGACTTAGAGCAAAATGCAACTATAGAGATACTTGTGTAAGGACTGAGTATGTTTGATGCTAAACTACACATAATATAACACTTTGGAAGGCTAAACTTGTAAAGGTAAATTGCTGAAATTCTAAGGTGTTTTTTTCCCTAACACATAGAGGAATAAATCAGAAGTAGATAGGCTAGTGGATTTTCGTTTGGACTCTTTTTTTCTTCTCACATGTTGGTATCTGAGGAATAGAAACAGTTCAAATGAATGATGGTGTGAGAGAAAGAAAGGGGAGTGAAATTTTACAAAATCATGTATATTACTCAGATAGTGAAGTCATGTTTGTTTCAGGCAGGGTGATTTATTGCTCTACCCTGTCAGCATCATTTGGGTAACACTGTGCTGAGGATAACAGAGAGAAGTCCTTATGGCTGTTAGCAAAGTAGAAGTGTCAGCCAGCATGTCATTCATTGTGTGGTGTCTATAGTCAGAAACGGTGACAGCAAGATTACAGAGGTGGCATAAACGGTTGGTCGTGTTATGCTCAACAGCAACAGCAACCTTTTCCCAAAAGGTACTTTCCCTAAGTGTGTGTATGCCTGTGTTAGAGAGGATGATAACCCTTGGGTCAAAAGTCTGCACCTTGAACCAGGATTTCAGGAGCACAGGAAGGGCGCCCTTCAGGAGCTTAACTGATCACTCCGACCACTCTGTTTTATTTAAGACAAGCTGTTTTATGGGGGAAAAAAAAAAAAAAGGAATGTTACCTTCACAGCTGAGGCGATCACCTGTTTTAACATTCTGTATATTCTCTTTTTCGCTATCATTCCATCTTTTTCAATAAAGCATTTGGATTAATTTTTTAAAAGCCCTTTTACAAATGTTTGCAAAGAGCTACAAGTTAAGCAGGCAGGGAAGGAGTATCCCCCAGATAGTCAATAAGTTTTTCATATTTCTCACATACTTGAAAGCAGAGTTCAGAAAGAAGAGTCCTCTTGGGAAGAATTCCTGGCAAGAGGATTGTTTGAGGTTGCCATATTTCTGCTCCTTTCTTAGCAACATTATTTACAATCCATTCACGCCTGTCCCTTCCCCCACCAGAGTGGAGTCGTTCTCCCTTGTAATCTGCCCTTTGTGATCTGTTCTCTTTCATGCAGCCAGTGTGAATGGGTATGCTGTAGTGCACGCTCTGCCCAGAGACGTGGAAATGCCAAGAGACCCGAATACTTTAGTGGGGCCTTTATTTCTGTCATAAAGCACTGACTTGAAGAGCTTGATAATTTGATTAGGACCTTTGGTGAAAAGTTGTTTCAAGTGGCCCAAGTGCTATAAATGACTCTCTTTTCTGCACTTTCCCCTTACGTTTTAATTTAAAAGCACCTCCGCATTACAGGGAGGAGAGATGAATTTGGCAGAGGTAGCAGTTGGAGACTAATTTGTTAGGGCAGCCAGTGTTGAAATCATCCTTTTCAGTTAAATCTCTCTAGTGGAAATGATGCCGAGTGCTTTGTGGTAAGGACTTTTTCTTTCTCAGTGTTTTGCAGTGCCATTTGTAACCCACCTAAGCATGCTCTGAAGTTGCCTCCCAGCCCCAATTTTGGCTAATTGTCCTTTGAGACACTGCATGTCAGAGGTCAGTTCTGAATTCCCTAACTTGAGATTTGAATATTCCAGGAACAGTCCCACCAACTTGCTTCCTTTTCAGCAATTAGACTACACTCAGCTCTCTCTGGAATAGTTTCATCAAGTGCCTGGGGAACCTAAAGAAATTGGATCAAAGATAAAGCAGATTTAGGATTAAAAAGAACCTGTGACAACAGAGTGGATGGAGTAGGATCGTGTTTGCTTTTCAGGCCACATGTGAGTGCTTTTAAGAAGAATAAGAAAATTTAGAGGAAAAAGTTGACAATAACGAAAGTAGTGAGGAAATATTAAATGCTTAATGTTCATATGTAGTCCATGGTGTGATTTTTTTTAAGGGTATACTAAGTATTTTTTAATATGAGAAAAAATATATGTACTGTATATATAAAACTTCTACATCAAATGCAAAGTCATTCTTTTTGAGATATTATTGCTTGGGATAATGCTAAATTAGTGCCTACTCAGCCACTGACTTTTTAAAATATATTAAGTAAATAATAGTCTAGATACTGTGCAGATTTGGAAAAGGATCCAAAATATGTTTTAGTTGTGAATAATGAAAGTTTAGGGAAAGCACTAGTGTGCAGCAAAGTAGATGTGTAAGAAAGAAGTGCTGAGTTTTTTTTTTTTTTTTTTTTTTTTAAATGCAGTCTTAATTTCTAGTCTGCCTCAGGTCCCACTCTTGGGTGTTTTCTTAAGGAGTAATAATCCTTGTGGAAGACACATGATACCAATTGACATCTCACGAATGGTGTTTGGTGGCCTGGAAATGGAGTATGACAGTTTAGATTAATTGGGATCTGTATAATAACAAGCTCCAGTTATTTTTCAATCTGGACGTAAAAATAAACTGTAAATAATTTTGTGAAGGGACAGCGTAATGAATGACCTAAAGTTTTTAAACTGAGCTTTTGTTACTTACTGTGACTGGCCAAAGACTGTGTGTGTTTACCTATGTTTTACATTTTATAGCCATGTATAACCTTGATTATTGAAAGTCCTTGCTTTAAATGGACATTATCATGGGATGTTTGTGGAATGGAGCTGTCAGAAAGCATGAAATTGTGCATTCCTTGAAGCATGCGTTGGTATTTTTCATAAGATCTGTCCATGTAAAGTGCACACTGTTTAACGTTTACTGACTGAGTCTATCCAAAAGTGTGAGTTTCATTTAAAGAAAAATATGTGGGTTTTACTTAGAAAATCTGCCCCAAATTTCCACCTTTGACTCTGTAAACTGAATTTGAGACTTGATCTTCATTTTATTCTACCTGCAGTTCTTCCTGAGTGTCTCCTGAGTTCTGTGAGGAAAATGAGCCATCCTTTTATTTGTAAATAAGTTTAACTTGAATGAATATTCTGTGTGGTGTGAATATGCTAATGTTTAAATGAATTCTTAAAATTGTTCCCCTGAGATCTTAAATTAGAAGAGATTGATTATCTTCCTGAAATGGCATATAAAAATATGTAAACTAAATCCTTACCACACTAGAGAAGATAACTGGATAGGAAAGAGGGTTTGGTTTGTTCTTAAGTGATTTCTGCCTGCTTTAGAAGTCAGGAACTGTTATTTGCGAGTACTTCTCTGTCTAAAGAAATAAGCCTGTAGCTGGCATCAACTAAGCTAACAAGGGTATCTGTCTTATGCGCTATTGAATTCCCACTACCTGGTCCATAGGAGGCTTTGTGC